CCCGCCCCCCACCCCCACCACACACACACAACCACGCCGCCCCCACCTGGTACGTGGATGTGACGATGAAGTCTGCGTGGTTCACTGGCGATGAGGTCTGCGGTGAACTGGCAGCTGAAGTGGTACTTGTCCTCCAGCCGCTCCCAGTAGATGTCGGCATCCTCGTACCTGGGAGGCAGCAGGGCGTGGGTGGCGTGGGTGTGGTGGTGTGTGGAGAGGGATGTGGGGGGGTCGCTGTGCTGGTTTGGAAGGGGCGTGTGATGTGCGCCGGCGCCTGCGGCCGGAGCGAGCCTCCTTTTCCTGCTGCAACACCTGCACCCCTGCAGCCCTGCCACACCACACGGCCACACAGGTGCAGCCAGCGCAGCCCCCGCCTCACTTGGTCTTCTCCAGGGCGTGGGCGATGTTGCACTGCGTCACATTCATGCGGTGGCTCATCAGCGTGGCCACCAGGTTGCCGTCGCTGCAGGGAAGAAAGGGCGGCGCAGGCAAGGCGCATGATTGCTCCGCAATCAGCCAGCCACAGGGGCAAGCAGATGCGGCCCCAAAGCAGCCACAGGGAGGCTTGGCGCGCCACAGGAGACGCAGTCGCAGCTGGCCAGCCAAACGGGAGTGCCCCGCCGCCAGCTCCCCGCAGATTCCTCGCCCGGCCCACCCACCTATAGTTGCCGATGATGAAGTCAGGCTTGCCGCCCTGCCGAGGAAGCAAAGACCGGTTAGCAACGACAGCTGTGACAGCAGATGCTGGGGAGCAGGGGCCCGGAGTGACCTCATTCAGCCACAGAGGCTGCTCCCAGCAGGAAGCACATAGGAATGTCGGGGCTGCGGTTGCCACCCACCCAACGCCTACCCAGCCCACCCACCATCTCAGCCAGGATCTCCTTGGTGGCGTCGATCGTGAAGCGCTCCAGGTAGGGCCACAGGTCGAAGCGGGACACCCACTTGTTCAGCACGCGACTGCGGGGAGGCGGGCGGGCACAGGGGACGGCCGGCATGAGGGGGAGGCTAGCAGCATGCAGGGGAGGGTGCCAGGCGGGCGGGGCAGGTTGAGCAGCGGGCGCAGGCGCCCCTCCTCCCCCCGCCCCTCACCCCTCTCTGTCGCGGAAGGGCACGCGCAGGATGCGCGCGTTTTGGCAGCCGCTGATGGGCTCCAGCCGCTCGTTGCACGAGGTGCCGTGGGCATCTGGGATCAGGCGGGTCAGCACCACAATGTCGGCACACACATTCTGCGCGGATGATGCAGGCGGGGGGTGGGGAGCAGGGGTGCGCTGGGAGCAGAGGAGGCACGGGCGGCTCCAGATGAATGGCCAGCGCTGCCGGGCATTGTGAAGCAGGCAGCGAGTGACGGCAGCCGTGGCGGCCATGACCCACCTTGAGCCCCGCATCCTCCAGCCGCTGCTGCATCTCCCGCTCCAGAGCCCGCACCTGGTCCAGGATGTAGACCACCTGCGGGCATGTGGCGTGCGTGTGGTGGTGGTCGTGGTGTGTGGTGATGTAGTGGTGGTGGTGGTTGTGTGGTGGTTGTGTGGACGTGTGGGAGGACAGGGGCAGAAGCAGGCTTGGCAGGGGAGAGAGCGAGTTGCTGTAGGCGACGGGCGCGGCGCCGGGATGCAGCGCGGGCCCGGGGAGGCCAGCACCCTCGGCAGCACCAATGGTGGGCAGGTGCGGGTGCACGGGGTTCGAGGTGAGCGGCAGCGGCGGCAGCAGAAGCAGCGGCAGCCTGGAAAGTGAGTGGGCATGGGGGGTCGCCTCACCACCCCCGGCAGGTGGGGTCGGCCCCGCTCCGTGAAGCGTGTGGGGTTGTATTCAGAGTGACCGGAGTCCTGCCGGTGCCAGGGAGGGGCCATGGAAACAGCGCGCTGCCACGGATTGGTGCAGGCAAACAGCATCGCACTCCTGCCGGTTTCCCGTTCTAACCGCGTGGCGCACTTCATAGCCCACCCACTCCCCTTGGCAGCACACTGACAGGGACCGCTGCCGGCCGCGGTGGCAGCAGTGGGCGCTGCACCGGCTGGCGCCCCGCGCTCTTCGCACCTGGCCGCCCGTGTCTGGCATGCCCAGCACCTGCATTGCATTATAACAGAACAGAACAGTGCATCAGCCACATCGCCAACTGAGCTGCTGCCTGCTGCAGGTGCCTGTTGCAATGGACAATGCAAACTGTTGCGCACATTGGTTTGCCCAAAGTAGCCGTGAGGCGACAGAATGACGACCTGCACGGCAGCTTAATGGCAATGCACAGCGTGCTCAGCGCACAGGTACGGCACGGAAACAATGTGCACGTAGGCTGGCGGCTCCAGCACCCGCCAGCTGATGGGATGGCGCCCCAATGAAGCGGCCCTGGCTGCTGTACGTGCCTTGAACATGAGCGGCAGGCGGCCCAGGAACTTCTCCAGCGTGTCGGCATCAGGCGCCTGCGCCCAGGTAGTTGATGGGAGGTGTGGGCGGGTTCAGGGCGGGGGGCAGGGCAATGGGATGGGCGCTGCCTGCTCCCGTGCCGCCTGCCCAAGCCCACCGGCAGCTGGGCAACCATGCCCAAGCCCAGCCAGCCACCCAGGCAGGCCCACCTGAACAATGTCCAGCAGCAGCTGGAAGGACTCGCGCACGCGCCCCACGGTGTTGCCCCAGCCGGGCAGGAAGCCCAGCTCATCAATGCCCGCCACCGCACCGATTGGCTCCTGCGAGTGGTAAGGGGGTGAGGCTTGCCAGGAAAATGGGGGCGTGCTCAGGGCAGCCAGCCGGGCAGGTGGCCCAGTGGGGCTGGCCACAGGCAGCGGCGCAGCAGCAGTGACCACACACAGACAGAAGGCAGCGGCCCCGCCTCTCCTACCTCATCCTCGTGCTTCTCCAGCAGCCTGTCGGCGCGCAGCAGCGCGTGGCGCAGCCTCTGCACGCTGTTCACTCGCTTGCTGCAGGTGGGGCAGCGCCAGGGCACCGCCAGCGCGCGCAGGTCAACTCTTCGAGACCTGATGGGTCACAGATGTGACATCGAGCGACAGCTCACGGCCCCCTTCCTGGCAGCTCACCTGAGCAGCAGCATCTCGCCGTTGTGCTTGAACTCGCGAAGAAAGTCGAGCATCAGCTGGCTGCAGGCCAGAGGGAAAGCAGACATCAGCAGGCGGGGACGCCACCAGCGTTAGGTTGATTGCTGGCGGCGCACCTGCCCTCTGCGTTGGCGTTGGGCGAGAAGAGCTTGGCCGAGAGGGTCTTGTTCAGGAATGAGACGCCGTTGCCGATGTGACTCTGCAGTCAGGCCGGGAGCGGGGCACTGAGTGCAGGACAGAGGGGGGGTATGCCCCTGCAGGGAGCCTCCTAAACGCAAAAACACGCATGCCCACCTGCAGGCTGATCTTGGGCTGATGGGCGCTGAAGGGCTTCAGGTCCAGCTCCAGTACAAAAGGGTCGTAGCCGTGGCGGTCTGCATGGCGGCAGGCGGGCGCACGGGCAGACGCCAGGCACAGCCAAGGCAGGGCACAGCAGCGGAATGGGTGGGCGGGGAGAGCGGTGGGCTGGCGGAACAGCAGGTGCCAGACAGGCAGCACAGAGGAAAGGGGCATGCATGGCTCCCAACCACAGAATGTGTTCGCTACACAAGGGCACGGCACGTACCCGCCATCTCCCCTGCAGAAAGCAGTCGCAGGCAGGAGGGCACCCGCTCGGCGGGAAGCGCAGCAGCGCCTCAGCCACATAGCAGCTGGCGGGGGACCGTCAGCGGCATGGATACTGGGGAAGCCGAGCATGGGTACCGCCGACTGCCAGTACACACCTGTCTCCATGGGCACCAGCTTCTCCTTGAATGCCAGGTAGTGTGCCGCCGTCATCTCCTCCACCCGCATGTCATCCACGCTAATGCTGCGGGGCGCGAGGCAGGCAGGCAGGCAGGGTGCACAGGCGCAATGATGCCACGGCGGCAATGGCATGGACAAGAGCAGCGAGAAGCATGCTGGGCTGCGCGACCAGGCCCCACCGCGCCCAGGCCCACACGGTTGCCACACGGTCCGCTGCAGACGCTCCTCCTCAGGCCTCGCTCCCTCCCTGCCCCCCCACACCATCCAGCCGCCTCACCGCATGTAGTACCACTCTCCCATCGTTGGCCGCAGCGCAAACGCCACGCGTGGCGCAATCACCACCGCCTCCTGCACCGTCCTCAGCATCAGCGCCAGCTCGGAGGTTTTGAGCGCCGGGTTGTTGCACTCCTCGCACACCGCCGCCAGCTCATCCAGGATCACGTGCGGCAGCAGGATGGGCTTCTCCCCCTTGCCTTTGGCCAGGCACCTGCGCAGCATTGCGAGCGGCGGCGGCGGGAGCAGGCGGCATGTTGCGAAGAGGCATGGCCAGCACGGGAGGGCTCCAATCCTGCCTTGGACCGGCCCCACGGCCCATTTGGACCATGTTGGGGAGGAGGCAAGGTGCAGGGGTTGGGGCCAGGGCCAGGGAGGAGGGGAGGCAGCGGCGGCCGGGCGCTGCAAGGCCTTTGGTGCGCGCGCCGCGGCACCCCCAAGGCGCTGTGCACAGGCTCTTGGCGTCGCTGTGGGCTCGGAGAGCAGGCCAGACGCCCCGCGTGGCTCAGCAACGTTTGGGTTTGCACGCCAGGGTTCCGGCACCAGACGTTAACCCCACCAGACCCCCGCCCCCTGTGCCCGTCGCCATCAACTCACCGCGAAAATAGCAGCACCAGCTCGTTCCTGGCGTGTTGGAGGCCCGATTTCAGGATGTCGGTGGGGGTGCCCCCTGCAAAGCTGATCGATCTTGTCAACGTACGGGGCGTGATCGTTCCCCGGGGGCTCGCCAGGAAAGGCTGAGAGCTGGGGCTGTCCCCAGTGTATGAGGCCATCACGGAGTCTGGGCAAGGGGGGCGAAGGGTTCTGAGATGCCTGAGTGGCGAGATGGGCGTGCCTTGCATCCAATTGAAGGAATAACGTGATTTCCGACAGATCTGGCCCACAGGGAAGCTTCTTGCCTGGCTGATTTGGCATAGCACGCAGCACGAGAGCCTCAAAACCCACACCTGCTGCAGCCATCACCTAAAGAGGTCAACATCCTCCAGACACCCAGACAGCAACGTCGCGTGCGCTACGCTCCGGTTTGACGCTCATCGCGCTTCTGGCTTCACCTGGGAGCCCTGATGCAGCCCACAGCCGCTCCGTGGGCCAGGAAGAATGAGGGGGGCGAGCCTCCAGGGGTGGCGGCCAGCGGTGGCGGCGCCGCGGCGCAGCCGCCCACGTCCAGACCGGGCGGAGCCGCGGCACCAGTGGCGCCCACCACCGCGCCCTGGATCAAGGCCGGCGACGCTGGGGCCCCAATGGCGCCCACCGCTGCGCCTTGGGCCAAGCCTGGCGTCGCCGGCCCCGGCTCCTCTGCCCCGCTGCCGGCCGTGAGCCGCGGCGAGCTGACAAAGGCGCCGTGGGCCGCCGTCAGCGGACCCGCGCTGACGGGGCGGCCCGTGGAGGCCGCGGTGCCGCGTGCCCAGCCTCGCCTGCCCTCCGTGCCCTCTGCCGACTTTTCGGGGCACGCGTTTGTGCCCGCCGCCAAGCGCATCCTCAGCACCGACCACCTCAAGCAGTTTCTGAGAAGCGATGTGGCCTGCGACCTGGTCTCCTTCATCCTGGCGCTCAACAAGGCGGTCAAGGGCAAGCAGCTGTCAGACCCGTGCGAGGTGGGCGGCCAGGGCTGCCTGCATGCTCGGCGTCACGGTGTGGGTGTGGATCGGGTCTGCAGCTGTGAAGGCGCCAGCCCCACCCCTGCCCCCTTGCCTCCCGCGCCGCCTGGCGCCTGCTGCTGCAGGAGTCGGAGGCGGTGCGGAAGCTGGTGGGGGTGCTGGACATGCTGTGGCGCTGGGTGGACGAGATCCCGGCGGCGGCGCACACCCTGCGGTACGGTAACCCGGCGTTCCGCACCTGGTCGCTCCAGATGACACAGCAGGCGCCGCAGGTGGGTGCGTGGCCGGCGTTTGTGTGGTTTGTTGGGTAGTGGGCGGTGAGGGCATCTCTTGGCATAGCAACTGCACGAAAGACGGGCGGCGCTCCACCCACCCTGCACGCAGCTGGTGGCGAGCGTGCTGCCGGCGGGGCTGCAGGCGGCGGCAGGGGAGCTGGCCGGCTACTTTGCAGACAGCTTTGGCAACGCCACGCGCATAGACTACGGCACCGGTGGGTGTTGATTTGTTGATGACGGCACCAGTATATCCGCTGCTCTGCAGGCACCAGTGCACTGGCTAGATCCAAGCTCCCCAGCACCTCGCCACAGCCAGCGACTCGCTGCCTGCCACCCTGCACATCTGCAGGCCACGAGACCACCTTCTGCGCGCTGCTGTACTGCCTGGCCAAGCTGGGAGTGGTGGGGGAGGGCGACGCGCAGGCGCTGGTCACCCGCGTGTTTGCTCGCTACCTGGAGCTCATGCGCAAGATACAGGTGGCGAGCGGGGGGGCGCTGCCGTGGCGCCAGGCTGGCCAGGCGCCGGGCCGGAGATCTGGGTATAGTGCCTCCCTGCTTGATCTGGTTTCGAGGTGCTCTCTCCCCTCGTGACTTGCTGCATCTTTCCCCTTGCGTGTACTCGTGGCCCTGGCCCCCTGCCGCAGACCACGTACTGGCTGGAGCCTGCGGGCAGCCACGGGGTGTGGGGCCTGGATGACTACCAGTTCCTGCCCTTTGTCTGGGGCTCGGCGCAGGTGGGGAGGGGTGAGGGCGCCTCACGCCAGGCGCAGGCATGCTTTCAGGCCCGGTTCGACAGGCCTGCTCAGCCTTGTTTGGTTGCCCCTCGCTGCCCCGGCCAACGCTACTTGGTGCCACCATTCACACGCCAACTCCTGCATCCCTGCCTCCCCTTCCCTCTTCTCCCTCCCTCTCTTCTCCCATCGGCGCAGCTGGTGGACCACCCCTTCATCAAGCCGTCGAGCATCCACAGCCGCGAGGTGCTGGAGGGGTATGCCTGCGAGTATCTGTACCTGGGGGCCATCAAGTTTGTGAAGCAGGTGAAGAAGGGGCCGCTGCAGGAGACCAGCCCCATGCTGGTGGACATCTCGGGCATACCCATGTGGTCCAAGGTAAGGCAGGGCAAGGCAGCCCAATGGCAGCTGCGGCAATCCATGATGTTCTGTGTTGCGTAGCGTAGTGGTCCCCGCTTCACTACTCGCAATGGCCGCACCCAGCCCACCGCCACCCCACCCTGCCCTCGGCCCCACACCCCGCAGGTGAACAGCGGCATGGTCAAGATGTACCAGGCCGAGGTGCTGGCCAAGTTCCCCATCATGCAGCACTTTCTGTTTGGCTCCCTCATAGACTTCAGCCCGGCCGCGCCGGCAGCAGCAGTGGACGCACCAGCCCCACAGCGTGCGCCGCCGGCAGCCGGCGCAGCAGGCGCGCCAGGCGTGCAGCCATCACCAGCCGCGGCGACGGGCACATAGCACGGCAGCAGCAACAGGAGGGTGAGTCTCGTGGGAGGCAACGAGCAGCCGCGGTTACATGTTTTTGTACATTTCTACATGATTGCTTGTTGTGACTAGCCAGTTTCCCCCAGCCAGTTTACCCCACGATAAAAGAATAATAAAACAATCCTCAATGCCAAGTCCTTCACCATACTGTTGGCATAAGTTAGCGTCGTGCTTGGATCAATATTAAATGCCCGCCCCTCCCCCCCGGGGCTGCTGCTCGTGCTTCCTCCCTTCCCTGGTGACAAGGTGTTGCCACCGCTGCTCAACTGCCCTGCGGCAGTGGGCCTCAGCAGTCGGTGCGCGCCGCGCACTGGCAGCTGGGGGAGAAGCCCTTGGAGGTGCAGCAGGAGGCCAGGGGGATGGGGTTGCCGTTGAGGGTGGCAGACCACTTCCACCCGTCCCACTCGCTGGCAAACTTGCCCTGAGGGTCCAGCTCCTGCAGCAGGCAGGGCGGCCATCTCCCGAGGGGCAGCTGAGAAGGAGCACGGGGTGCCCCACAGTCCGCGCACGCGCCGTGCATGCAAGCCGCCTGCCATGTGCAGATGCAGCCATGCTCCCTGTTCAAACTCACTTACCCTGTCTTGGGCACCACCACCACACCACCACACAGAGCCACCCACACACCCACCTGTACGGCGCAGCCAAAGGAGCACCAGGTGGACGGGTACTCAATGCTGCCCTTGAAGCACTTGGCGTGCTGCGGCCAGCCGGCCTTGCCCCAGTGCAGGCGCGCGCCGCAGCGCTGGCGGAAGAGCTGCATGATGCGCTGGAACTGGTCGTTGGGGCGCCCGCTGCTGCGGCTCACATAGTCCTGCAGGGCGGCGGGCAGGGGGTCGAGCAGCCGCATGTTAGAATGGAGCGGCTGGGTCGGATGGGGCGACGCGATGCACACTGGCAGGCCCAGGAGATGCCCCATGTCTTGGCCCCGATCGCGCCCTCTCACCTCCATGTTCACATACATGGCAGGCCCATCGGTGGTGGGCGATAGGTAAAAGTCCTCCTCCCTGCGCACGCATACAGATGGGCAGCAGCATCACGCAGACTGCAGTGGTGCTGCATGTTTAAAGAGCAGGTGCCTGAGAACCGAGAGGCCCCACCCCTCCCCCGCATCAGCCTCGCGCTCACGTGACAAAGCGCACGAGGAAGGGGGTCCTGGCCCCGTCCCACAGCTTGGCGTCGCCATAGACCTCCTTGCCCACCTCCATCAGGCAGCTGCCGGCCCTGCTGATGGGCACGGCCACCTGCGCAAGAGGTCCGGGCGGGGAGCAGGGGTGGCTGGGAGTGCTGGTGCAGGCTGGGAACAGCAGCCAGGAGGTTGCGTGTTCGGCAGCAGCTGCGATGCATGGCTGACCTCGTATTGGTCGTAGGGTGCAAAGGTGGAGGTGACCTGGGTCTCCGACTCGGCCATGGACAGGAAGGCCTGCGGGCACCCGCCAGCAAGGCGTGCACACGGCAACACCTCAGCTCAGCCCGGCCCGTCACTTTCCCTGCCTCCTGCAGCTGGCGCTCTTCACACCAACACGCTATGCCTGCACAGCGGGGCCGCCGCGGAGAGACCTGCACGCCTCCCTCTAGTCCACCTCCGCTGCCTTCCCCTCACCTTGCGCGACTCGAAGGTGCCGGCAGCCACTTTGTTGCGCAGCTGGGTGACATACAGGTTGGACCAGAACCGCGAGTTGAGAGCCATGCGGGAGTTGGCCGCCACCGCCCTCTTCTCCACCTGGGCATACACATCGTCCTCGGGGCCGCTCATGGCCTGCAGGGGTGCACGACATGGCGTGGCCACCCGCCCCCAAGGACAAGATGCACGAGAGGGTACAGGCAAGGTAGCCAAGCGGGGAAGCGGCAGTACAGTCCCAATGATGCACCAAAAGCGGAGCCGGGCGGATGGTTCCAGCCCCGCGCCAGGCAGCTTGCGTGCCTTGACCACGGGCTCGCTGGCGGGGAAGGCGTTGAGCAGCACAGCCAGCGGCTCGTGGTCCAGGTGCTCGTAGTCGGTGCGCTGCACAGAGGCGGTGGGCAGGGCCCAGAACGCCTGCGTCTCATCTACCTGCAGCAGGTGGATGGGCAGGGGGACAGCCAGCTAATCGATGAGCACCATGCCATGCAGGGCCAGCCGCCCCAAGCTTTATCCACCCAGCCACCAGCCAACCGCCAGCCAGCCAGCACTGCTGGCAGCTGATGCCGGTAGGCTTGCCTGGAACAGCGCGCGCCGCATGCCGTCCACGTCGTTGGCCTGCTTGGCGGCATTGTACGCCTCCTGCGTCTCCAGCACCTGCGCCGCAAAGTCCTGGAACGACAGCTCCTGCACCAGCGGGTAGCGCGGCAAGGGTGGGCATGCGTCTGATGCCGAGGGCGGCTTGTCGCCGGCCACACTGCCGACTGACAGCCAGGGTGAAGGCCCCAGCTCCAGCTGCATCTTACGCGCCTGCAGCCTGCGCTGGACCGCCTGCTGCGGTTTGATCTTTAGGGTGACCTCGGTGACGATGCCCAGGCGGCCCACGCTGACGCCCGCCGCCATGAAGAGGTGGGGGTTGGACTTGGGCGACAGCTCCAGCATCGTGCCGTTAGCAAGCACCAGCTTCAGGCGGCGCAGCTGCAAGGCAGGAGGCCAGGGGAGCAGGGTAAGCACAGGGCAGCAAGAAGGGAAACGCTTGGTCCTGCCCATCCCTGCATCCACGCATACGCATCTCCAAGCCGACGCAGCGCGTGGCGCATGACGCAGCGAAGCGAGCGATGATGCAGCGCACCTCCACCACCACCACCACCACCAGCGCACCTGTGCCGCAAGGCTCGCATACTTCATAGAAGAGCCATGTGTAGCGGTAACGACGGCCCCACCAATGGTCTGGTCCAAAAACCTGCGGGTGAGTGGGACCAGGCCATCAGCGCGGCCCAGCCGGCACGCAGGCCAGGCCACTGGGCCGCGGCACTCACCATGAGAACGCGGGTAAGGTCCAGCCAGAGCGCTGCTTCCAATACTTGTAGTCTGCGGGCGCGGGCGGCAGTATGGAACCGAGATGGACCTGGGGACGTCCTTCCAGGAGCGAGCCAGCCATGCACGGCACCGCCGCCACCGGCACATGCGCTCACCAGACAGGTAGTCCAGCAGGGCGCGCTGCGTGATGCCTGCCGCCACCGTCACCTCCTCGTCCAGCTCGTTCACCTGGATGGGGAAGCCGGCGGGCACCTGCTTGCCCACCCACTGTTGCGGGTCCACCGGCGCCGCCATGAAGTCCAGCACCGCCTGCTGCTCGGTGGTGACGATGTTGACGGCGCGGCTGTCGTTGCCGGCGCAAAACTGCTCCCTCCACCAGCTGTGGCCCACGCCGGAGGCCTTGACCTGCGGGAACATGGCCACCTGCGGGCCAGGCAGCAAGGTGGGAGGGCTGGCACGACTCGGGGGGAGGCAGCCAGGTGTTACAGTCACCCCGCTATGATAGGCCGCATGAGCAGACCTTGGGCAGGGGGCACACGTGATCAAGGGGCATCAAGAGAGGGGGTGGACCATGGAGCACCCTCCCCATGGCTCCGACCACCCTCCCCCCAGCTGAGCGTCCCAGGGTCACCCCACCCTGGCCCCGCTCCCCGTCCTGCCGGACACGCAACCCCCACAACGTGGTGGGGGGCGTGGGGATCCTTAGCAGCTTAGGCCTGCCAGGCCGCCGGGTGCCGATGCTGGTGCGGGCTCCCGGCGGCAGGCAGCGCCGCCGCCGGGCACTCAAATGGCATGGGGCACACGGGCAGGCACACGAGTGCAGAGCGACGCAGTGGTGTTTCGTGGGGCCCTGCCCTTGAAGCTCACCATGGCCTGCAGCTCCTCCACGGTGCTGGGGCGCCCCACCTTCACCACATCAGCGCACTCGAAGAAACCCTGCGTTCCAGGCAACGGGGCGCACTGGTGGTTGGGGGTGAATCTCAGGCGAGCGGAATCGGGCGCCGGAATGGGCACGCCTCTGCTTGAGGCTTGCCTGGAAGTTTGCCAGCTCGAAGGGGAGGCCACACGCGCCGTGGGAGGCGTCCGGGCCCATTCTGCATGCATGTAAGGAAACATAAAGCAGATAAGCGTGCCTTGAGGATGCAGCAGCAGCAGCGACGGCGCAGCGGCGATGGCGCTGCCGGCCGCCGCCAGGTTCGAGGACCTGCCTGCACTTGTAGTTGGTTCCCTGGGCCAGCGCGGCGCCCGCCAGCATCAACACTGTGGTGGCCGCAGCCAGCAGGCGCCCCATCGTGGTCGGTCGAGAGCGCGCTAGTGGACCACCCTCGATGCCGTCACCTCGAGCTCTGAACAACGACAGCACGCCCTAGAAGTGATCGAAGGGACAAGAAGACAATCGAAGGCGACGCGGGTTGGCCTCGGCGGTTCCCACCTTGGTCCTTCCAAGAGCCTTTCCACCCAGATGATGGTGCCTCCCCCTCTTCTGGAACCAAGCCTCTGCCTCCCTGTTGCGACAACATTCAATCCCAAATGAGACGCTCACTCACATTGTGCTTAAACCTTCTGTTTCATTGCAACATGCAAGCGGGCAGCGCCCGCCCGCCGCCCTCCTGAGCGACGTCGGCGTCAGCCGTCCCCACTCTCTTCCGAAGGCATGGCAACAGGGTGGGAGTCTAGCAACGGCACCAGGAGCATCGCCTCCTGCGCTTCCCCTGGATCTCTACTGCTGCCGCCAGTGCCGGCGTCTGCCTGTGGCATCCCTGCCTCTGCTGCTTCGTCTGCGTCCACCTCCGCTGCCACTGCCGCTGCCAGGCCGCCGTCGCCGCCGCCGCCGATGCTGACGCCCCCACGGTCGCTGCCCCACACCAGGTAGGCCGCGCACAAACCGCCCGCCGCCAACAGCGCCAGCCCTGCCGCCACCGGCTGCGCATACAACCGCAGCGCACGCTGCACGGCACGAGCGCGCAGCAGCGGGCGGAACTGCTGCAGCTGCGTGGGTGTGGCGCTGCTGGCCAGCTCCGCCCAGAAGATGGGCAGGACGGTGTCGCGCAGCGCGGGGTCCACCCTGCGCCACCTGCTGCCGAACCAGCTGCTCATCATCAGGCGCTTGGCGGCGCGCAGCGTGATGCCGGTGTTGGGCTCTGCAGGGCGGCCAGCGGCGCGGCCGGGGACAGGAGCATGGGTCGATTGGGGGCCGGATGCTGGGCATGGCGCGACCGGCCAAGCCACACATGCACAGGGGGGCACAGGAAGCAGGTTGGTCTGCCCGTATCCCCCCCATCCATAAAAGCCTCACTCACCGACGTCGACAAAGAGGTCGTGGGCCTGTGGGTCGCAGGCCAGCCCCTCCACACCCTCCGCCAGCGCGGGGTCGGCATCGCAGAAGTGCGGGTAGGACAGGAAGATGGGAGGACCCGGCTTGCCGGCCCGCCCGCCCGGCCCGGCTGCAGGCCAGCCACAGACCCGATCTGTGAGTTGCACGGCAGGCATGCGGCGAGATGGGCGGGCGGCGGCACCAGCCCCGCAGCTGTGGCACCCACCCTGTGGCCGACTGCTCACCGGCGGTGGGGGATGTGACGTTCATGAGGCCGCGTATGGTCTGGAAGAAGCGAGGGTCGGGGTTGCCCTGGGCAGGGTCGGCTCGCAGGCGCAGGAGCGGGATGCCCTCCAGCCTGACCTGCAGCAGCAGCAGCGAGTGCAGGGGACCCATGGCCTAATCAGGGAAAGGTGCTGCTGCGCTGGGATGTGGCGTCAGGTGTCAGAGGCAGTAGCATACGACCAGCGGCTGCAGCATGCTGGGCGTCAGGGGCAGTAGCGTGCAGCTGTTGGGCGTGTTGCCGTGTCGTGCCTGCTCCTCTGCCACCAGCTTGGCGGCGCGGTACAGCTCGCCCACCCACACCTCCACGCTGTCGTTGATCGCCAGCCCTGGCCTGCACGCAGGGTGGTGCAGTGGTTTCAGTGGTGCAGGCAGTGACTCAGCAGCCACAAACGAATGGGGCCCCGCTACCAGCCGGCTGCAGCAGGTACAGGCTGGCACGCGTTGACAGCCCACCAGCCCGCATCAGCCGCGGCCCGACCTGAACTGGAAAGCGTCGGTCCCCCGCACCGCCTCCACATGCGGCGGGTTCCATGAGGTGACCAGCCTCACATCCTCCCACTCCTGGTACTGCCACACATCCTCCACACGCTCCAGGCCTGCAGGGACACACAGCGCTTCGCAATCACATGGAGGGCATGGTCGGCGTGCCATGTGCGGGCCGAGGCAGCTGCAGATGGCTTGCTGGCGCCAGCACCTTGACCCCAAAACGATGGGGACATCCTCTTGCGTGGCAGCCCCACCGGAGCCCACCTGTGTTGGCCTGCGTGGGCCAGTCCAGGGCCGCTTCCTCCGGGGAGCTCATGTTCCAGGCCAGGCGGAAGCGCGGGTTGATGCTGGGCGCAAACACCGCCAGCTTGCGAAGCAGGGGGTCGCTGCAGAGAGGGCGGGCAGGAGGGGCAGGACCGCACCAGGCTGTGTGTCAGCAGCCATCAGGAGCTGATGATGAGTGCCGCCGTGGAACATCGGCCCCAAGCGCCGCACCCAAGCACACAAAGCATAGACACTGCCAGGCCGTAAGGCATGCCAGCAATGGCAGCAGCGGCGCGGCGGCACCAGGCCCCCGCCTCCACCAAGGATCCCCCGGTTGAGCGCACTCACTCGTAGCCCCACAGCAGCTCCCCGGCGGTGCGCGTGGTGAACAGGCCCTGCACGCGCGGGTCGCCCATGCGCTCCACCCACGTCGCCAGCAGCTCCAGCAGGGACGAGCCCTTCCACGCGGGCAGCGACTGGATGTACTCCAGAGCGCCTGCGGGAGGGTGAGGGCAGCTATCGTGGCAGGGCGCCAGGCTGGGAGGATGCAGGGTTGTCTGTGGGGTCATGCGCTGCTTGCGGACGGAAGCGGCAGGGCGTGCGGGCTGCCTGCTCACTGGCCCGGCTGCCGCATGGGCCACGCACCCAGCAGGGGCAGGTTGAGGGTGGTGATGGGGTCGTCCTGAGTGCCGTTGCTGAGGTGCGGCTGGAAGAGGTGGTAGCGGTACTCGCTCCACCGCACCGCGGCGCCGCCGTCCACCCACTGGACGCCCTGCTTGATGCGCACCATCTGGTAGGTGTAGGGCCCCACCTCTTGCTGCAGGGGTAGGCAGGGGCGTCGGGCAAGCGGGCGTAGGCAAGCAGGCAGCCTCAAAACACAGGAGCAGCAGCCCCGCCCAGTGCTGCTGCTGGCTCCGTGTATGTAGCTTCCCTGCCGCCGCCGCCGCCGCAGGCACTCACCAGCGCAGGCTTGGCCCCCTGCCGCACGTCTGGCAGGTTGGTTATGTTGAAGAAGCGGTAGCGAGCATACACGGGTGGGTCCGTGGGACTTAAGTCGCCCCGGAAGCGTGCTGCTAGGCAGGCAGCGGTGAGGCGGGTGGCAGGCGGCTCAGCCATCCGGCAGGTGCAGGGCTGCGTGCTGTTGATTGATAGGCGCCCAGAAAATGGGCGCTGGCGGACAGGCGGCGGTGGCGCCGTCGCCGCCCCAACCCTACCTGCAACCGACTCGGGGCTGTCGGGCTGCCACACGATCTGCTGGCAGATGCCTGACACCACTCGGGCCTCAATCCGCTCGGACGTCGGCCGAGCTGCCAGAGCGAGCAGCACGGCCAGCCCAAGGGCCAGGCCGCTGGCTGCCAGCCACAGCAGGCCTCGGTTCATTGCTGCATTTGCGAGGTTTTTTAGGGCGCTCGAGCCTAAACAGCTGCCTGTGTGTACTTCTGTACCGTCGCGCCCCCGATGGCACCTCTTTGCAGGGGCCACAGCGCCGCATCACGGAACCAACGAAAGCCACTCGGTTGCAGCAGGCAGGCAAAGGTATTGGCGCCACCCTCGCAAATTGATCGGCGTGGGTGCAGCGGTAATGCAGGCGCTGCAGGCCCCCCCTGCAAACTAGGAGATAGAAACACAGCGTCATGTCTTCCTACGGCCTGAGCGGCTGGCCTGGGGCCGGCAATGGCAGCACGGGCTCCCTGGGCAGGTCCAGCACGCGGTTTGTGCCCCATGACTTCCGCTACAACGGTCGCGTGGCGATGGCGCTGCTCCCCAGCCTCGTCGTGCTGGCGGGGTTCGGCGGCAACGCCGTGTCGGCGGCCCTGGCGGTGAGCCTGACCGCCTTGGTTTCTGCCTGCGTATTGGGCTGTGCTGCCGCAGGGAAATTGCCAGGCACATTGCCACAGCCACCTGTGACCTGGGTGCCGCTGCCGCCGCTGCACTGTTGGTGCCGCTGCGCTCTTGCCGAGCGTGCCGCCCAGCGCCGTGCACCACCCACACCTCTGCCCCGCCGTCTCCGCAGGTCGGCCTGATGGCCACCTACATCCTGGACGCCCTGCGGTACAAGGAGGGCGCCTTCATGGCCTCCTGGCTCACCATGGGCGCCGCCAACCTGGCCATGATCTTCTCCACGCTGCTTCTCAAGAGCGAGGCATCCATCCCGCTCACCCTCCTCATCTTTGTGCTCAACGGCATGTCACTGTTCCTGGCGGGTGAGGTCCTTGGGGGTGGTGGTGGTCACCAAGAGGTGGTGAAGTGGGTGGGGTAGCGGTGCGTTTGCATGTGTTGGGGCTGTGGGGAGGGCTTCAGACTGGACCGCCGAGCCGCGTGCCGCCCTCAGGCTGGCGCACCCGCAGCTGACGCCCGTCCCGCCTCCCCCTGCTCCCCCCGCTCCCCCTGCAGGCCTGTGGGCATCGCTGCAGTTCCGCTTTGTGCAGCTGCAGTACCCGGGGGTGGTGATTGCGTTTGAGAAGATGCTGATCGCGGGGTGCCTGCCCGTGGCGGCGGCGGTGCAGACGTGGGGCATGGTGTCGGGGGTGGGCATGAGCAACTCCGCTTTCTTCCTGGCGGGCCTGCTCTGCGCCCTCTACTACTTCTTCGGCCTGCCCCTGCCCTCCTCCTTCCACCTGGGAACCAAGCCCAAGATCGCCACGGGTGAGCGGCGGAGGTAGAGGGCGCAGCGGTGGGATGATGGCTGGCAGCACAGCGGGGCCCCGGCTCGGCTCTGCTGGCGCCGTGAGGCGGCCATGGCACGGCCCTGCCCGCCCCGCCCGACCCTCCCCCGGCCCCTGCCCTCCCCCTTGCCCCACAGGCGGCGCCAGGCCCAAGACCCACACGCTGCAGGACTCTGCCGACGGATTTGCCGCCTTTGTGCTGGTCACCACGCTGCCCGTGGCCGTCTACCTGGCCACCCACTGGGCCGTCATCTTCCAGTGGGTGCACCTGTGGAGCGTGCTGCTGCTGGCGTCGGGACCCCTCGTCTTCGTGACCAGCCTCAAAGGTGGGCGGGTGGGCGCGCAGGCAGGCGGGGGGCTTGGACAAAGGCAGCAAGGTGGGGCGGGCGGGGTGTTGGGCCGGCCGGG